ACACACACACACACACACACACACACACTCACACACACACACACACACACACACACACACACACACACACACACATACACACACAAGCAATGGGCAGGTAGTACCAGTCAGTCAGTCAAGGAAGAATCACATAGCATAGAAAACCTCCATGCAAAACTGAGTATCCCAGGAAGCAAAGTCAGTGGGAGCTTTGGTTCACAAACTTTCCCTGGGTCTGCCATGAGCCAGGTATTGTGGCTGGCAATGGTTCAGATTCCACAAATCTTGCCTGTTTAAACGATTGAAAGAATGGAGGATGAATGAGTGGTAGCACACAGTCATTCTCTGGAAAAGAGAGCAAGCTCTAACTGGTAATAATCGCAGAAAGGAAAACTTCATCATAAAACGGGCAAGTGAGTTGGAACAAAGTTGACCCTTAACTCCTTCAGTATATCTTGGTGCTAACTGTGTACCTAGCATGATGCTAGTCTCCTTAATGGCATAGGAGAGCTAACCTCAGCAAATATTCATTGAGCAACAGAGCAAGCCCTGTGCTCGGTTCTGGGAAACAGCATAGAAAACACAAACCGGATGCTGTCTCCACCTTCTCAGGGCTCACAGACCCACAGGAGATGGGATGGAGCACATGGAAGGCTGAGAAGGATCTTCTTACTGTTCTCTACTACTGCATGTTGAGCCTCTGTACTGCATGGATGCTCACTCACTGGTTTCTTCTCTCTCTTCCTTTCACCTTTCCCTCCCCTAACTTCCCCTCCAGTTTCAGAGACCTCATGACTATTCCCCGCCTTTCCGATTTGGGACAGTACCCAATGGGAGTACAGAGAGGAATATCCGTAACAACTACCCATATATGCACCAGTACATGACCAAATTCAACCAGAGGGGAGTAGAGGACGCCTTGGTCAGCTTGAAAACGGGGTAAGGAAAATGGCTCCTTCTTCTCTGCAGGCATCAGTGCTTAAACTTGACATCAACAGACTCTGCATGCCTCAGTGCTTATCTGTGAGACTGCCTATTTTCTGGAGAGGTGCCACAGGCTAGATGGCCACCAGCAGAGGAGTGTTTGTGTTAATCTGATGATATCATGGGCTGCCTGTTAAGAAGAAGCAACCCACAAAGTGTGGAAACTCAGAAAGCCCAGGGGGTTCTGTAAGCTGATAAAGAAGTTGGTTCAACTCTGTGGGATATTTTAGCCAAGTAGAAAGACCTAAAAAGGTTGAGAGCTTAAAGAAGTAAAACTAGATTTATATTAGATTATTTGGGGAGGCTAGAATAGTGGCAACAGCTTGACAGTGCAATATTGATGAAGGCAGCTGGGGACGAGGCTCAGAGGCAAAGTCTGTGTCTGGAATGCAGAATCCTAAATTTCATTCTAGACACACTGAACAAAGTGGCAAAGGAGAAAGGAAAGAGATAAGAACGCAAATCCTTTCTAAAGACACAGCCAGGGTTCTGGTCTACCCATTGACACGGTGAAATGGAGCTGTATTAGTCAGCTCTCCAGAGGAACAGAACTGATAGAATGAGTGTGTGTGTGTGTGTGTGTGTGTGTGTGTGTGTGTGTGTGTGTGTGTGTGTGTGTGTGTGTGGGGTGTATGTATGTATGTATGTATGTATGTATGTATAAAGGGAATTTATTAGAATGGTTTACAGGCAGTTGTCCAACTAGTCCAACAATGTCTGTCTACCAATTGAAGGTCCAAGAATACAGTAAGTAGTAGTTGTATAGTTCATGAGGCTGGATGTCTCGGCTGATCTTCAGTATATGTCTGCCAGTAAGAGCAAGCAAGCAAAAAGAACAAGCCTCCTTCATCCATGCATATTCTTTGTATAGGCTGACAGCACACAGTATGGCCCAGATTAATGATGCATCTTTCCACATGAAAAGATCTGGATTAAAAGTAGGTCTTCCCACTTAAAATGATTTAATTAAGAAATAAACCCCCACAGGCATATCCAGCCATTTGAGTTTTAGTTAATCCAGATGTAGTCAGGTTGACAACTAAGAATAGCTATCACAAATCCACACCTTGTCAACTTGATGCAAAACCATATCTCCTTATGTTATGCATTCATTTACAAACGAAAATAATAACTATATAATAATTATACCTAACATAATGTAACTATCATTTGTACAACTGTAAATATATTATAAATTTTAGAATAGGTGGCAATTTCCCTTGAAGGACATTCTTTTAGTATCTCAAACTCAAATATGATAATCACTGATATTCTCTTAATTGACATTATATTACATGATAAATAAATCGAGGAAAGAAAACATAAGTATCTGTAGAAACACATTCTTAACAAACTATGGCAGAAGCACTCATGTCTCTTATAATCCTCATTTCTGTAACTGGTCACATTGTCTTAGCTGGTATTTGTGACTACTGTCCTACACCCATTCTCTATTCTTCCACCCTCAGCAAGAACTTTAGAAGGTCTTGGCTCTTTTCCTTGAGGAGTGACCCATACCTTCATTCCCCATGGATCTATGCTCTCCATCATCCTGCCTGGATTAGCCTGCTGTAGTTTCCCATTAACTTTAATCAGGGTATGGTAGCACCAAGAGGCACCCTAAAGGATCTTCTATACTCTGGACATAATCTTCTTACCTCCTTCATAGAGAAGCAATCCAATTTGCCCATGGTAATCTGGATCAGTCACCTCTGCTATCACTGTTATTCCTTTCTTTGCCTGTTGACTTAAGAGCATCAGAAGCCCAAAGTGGCCAGAGGGAAGTCTGAGCTTTCAGCTCAATGCAATGTTTGTTGTGTCTTCTGGCAGGAATGCTCCCCACTCTAGAACCAAAACTACTAGGCCAGCAGAACTTAAGCTCTCAGGAATAGGAGGCAGTTTTATCAGTGGGTCACTAGGGGTGATAGTGAATAAAGCTATAGCCTTTTCTATTTCTACTTTCAAGAATTCTTAGTTTAGCCCAACTAAACCCATTGCATTTAATTCATCCAACTGAGTGGCAGCAGCTCCAACCCTGAGGTGTGGCATAAAGAAAAGGGTAACAATAAACCTCTTTAGATATGCTGGTACCCCTCTAATCATTTTGTGTCTTATAGGATTAGTGAAGAGCTGGGTTTTCCCATTGTGGAGAATTAGGTTTTATATAGCACACACATTCTAGCATTATGATTTCCTTGAGCTTTAAAAATCCCTTCATCCACATAAGTGAAGGGATATCAGGCATCTCCAGCTCTTTTTCAGCAGGTCATCTTTTGACAGATGCTTCAACCAACCATTCAAACAAACTTTTGATACTTTTTTTTCCAACTTTTTAAATTTGAATTAGAAACAGGATTGTTTTACATGACAATCCCAGTTCCCTTCTCCCACACTTCCTCCCCCTCCCCCTCAACTAAAACCCTACCTATCACATATCCTTTCTGCTCCCCCTGGATGGTGAGGCCTTCCATAGGGTGTCACCAGTGTCTATTGTATCCTTTGGGATAGGGCCAAGGCTCACCCCCATGTGTCTTGGATAAGGGAGTATTCCTCTATATGGAATGGGCTCCCAAAGTCCACACCTATGCTAGGGATAAGTACTGAACTTCTACAGGACGTCCCGTAGATTTCTGAGGTTTCCTCACAGAAACCCATGTTCCTGGGGTCTGGAGCAGTCCCATGCTGGTATTCCAGCTATCAGTCTGGGGAGCAAGAGTTCCCGGATGTTCAGGTCAGTTGTTTCTGTGGATTTCACCAGCCTGGTCGGACTCCTGTGCTCTTCACTCGTCCTTCTCTGTATCTGGGTTCCAGTTCAGTTCGGTGATTAGTTGTGGGTGTCTGCTTCTACTTCCACCAGTTGCTGGATGAAGACTATAGGATGTCATATAAGTCAGTCATCAATCTCATAATCAGGGGAGGGCATTTAAGGTAGCCTCTCCTCCGTTGCTTAGATAGATACTTTTTAACTGAAAACTTCCATATTAACCTGGAGTCTCCACTCAGTGGACCAATGTCAATAAACTCAGCCTTATTCAGTTTTATCCCACACCCTTGAAATTCATTCCCACACATGTTCCCCAGACTTCTGCTTGTGTGAATTAGCAAACTCATTAAGCTTCTTAGTAGTGGATTGCTCTTTCTACCTCTCCTCTGGGAGCCTGATTTGCCTTGAATCTGATTATAGGTCTAGATGCAACTATTAGTTGGCCCCAAAGGCCATCAGTATTGTCTTGCCTGGCATCTCCTTCAGAGAAAGTCACATAGCACTTGAGAGGCAAACGTAGGCAGATGTCTGTGAGTTCAAGACCAACCTGGTCTACACAGAGAAACCCTGTCTTGGAAAGAAAGAAAGAAAGAAAGAAAGAAAGAAAGAAAGAAAGAAAGCAGGGAGGGAGGGAGGGAAGGAGGGGGGAATGAAATAAAAGAAAGGAAGAAAGGGAAAGGAGGGAAGGAAGGAAGGAAGGAAGGAAGGAAGGAAGGAAGGCTGGCTTACAGGCGTGCCTAGTCACTTTCAGATGTAGTCAAGTTGACAACTGAGAATAGCCATCACAACCCCCAAAGGCTAAATGATAGTGTACAACCTGGGAGTGGAGACAGGTGGATTCCTTGGGCTCCCTGGTTGGGCAGTTGAGACAAAGCAGCAAGCTCTAGGTTCAGCAAGAGACCTCATTTCAATAAGTAATCTAGAGAGCAACAGGAGAGAATACCAGAAAACAACCTCTGGTGTTCACACATGTACTCACAGGAGAGTGCTTCTGCACATACAAGTGTACACATAGACACAGAAAAGGTAGTGCAGTCTGGGGAGGCAGTTGATCTGGTTAGCGTATTTACCACACAAACGTGGATACCTGATTTTGATCCACAAGATCCTATGCTTAAAATAAAAGACAGGTATGATGGTATTTCCTTTAAATCCTAGTGCAGGAGTGAGTGGTGGTTGGTAATGGAGGCTCCCTGCCTAGCCAGCCTCGGGCCAGTCAGTGGGCTCCAGGCCAGTGAGAGACCCAGTCTCAACAAGTAAGCTGGAGAACACTTGAGGAAGCATCTGACACTGACCTATGGCTGCCACATGGATGTGACACACATGAATGCACCCACCCACAAGCCCCATGCATAAGAGCTTAGGCTCTGGAGACAGCTACTGTCTCTCTCCACTATTGTCTCTGTGACTTTTTGTGTGTATGACCTTTATTTAATCATCCAGAGACTCACACTTAATGTGGGAATAATCATAGAACCTAATTCATAGGAATTCTGTGGCAAATAAATGGACGAATGTGTTGGAGAGCATTTTGTGTAGCACCTGGCAAAAGATGATACTTATTGTTACAGTTGTCATTTGTTGCAAAGGTTAAACTCCATTTGTGGATCTGCAAAAAGTCAGGGATGTGTGAAATACAATTTAGAAAGATTCCATTAAAATGATTTCATTTTAAATGAAGGAGTTGTATAATGAGAGAAGTTTTGATTATCTAGAAAATTAGCTTTGGTGGGGATCTCAGTCATCTCAGTTTCTGAGCCTGACATGTGACTACAGCTGCAGTTCTCCATAGCTCAGCAGCTGCTTCCTCTTGCTTTTTACTTTTTTGGGGGAAGTAAGAAGCCCCTCTACACTCTCAGCTAAATCCAGATTGATACACAGATCTTCAGGAATTTCTTCTGAGAGCATTTCTCCCCATCAGCCCCTGTTTGGAATTTGATTGGTATGTTAGCACAGACAGGAAGAGTGAGTCCTTCTTCAGATGTTTAATCCATGATTTATTCAAAACTCACACATGCACAAACAAAACACAAAGAGTTTGATATTAAATAGTTAGATAAGTCTGTACTCACTGGAGCTGTTGGTTTGTGGTCCCCAGGAGTAGTCTTCCATGCCATCTTTAGAAATATCTTCCACCAACCCTTGTCACTTCCAAAGCTGAAGGTTGATTTCTGCTGCTTGAACACATAAA